ACTTGATTACGAATTGTTTCGAAAGTGGTTTCGAGGACTCCCTTGAAGATATTTGTGGAGTAGTGTCAATCCTACCTTCTGAATTCATTGAAGCAATGGAATCTGTGAATGAACAGGAAGACCTACATAGAGAAGATTTTTTCGGTGACCCCAACTACGAGTCAAAGATAGTATGGGTGAATCAAATCTCTCGAGTCATTCCAAAGTTTAATTCAACCGTGTTCGATTCACCTACCCAAGAGATGAAGGACCATCTGAAACCATTATTGTTGATCCTTATGATCGAAGGAGTTGAAGTCAATAAAGTCATGGTGGATGGAGGATCTGCTATCAGTCAGAGAGTCCAAAAATCTCATCCAAACTAACAAATTCAGCCACATACAAACACAAAACACAAAGCATAGGCTCCATAGGACTTAAAAATAGACTTAAATCTCTCATGCATCCAAACTATGCATCAAAATTATCAAAATCCTCCTTTTTCTCAAAACCTCAAAAATGATATTTTCTTCAATCCATCTATGGATTCTCAACATTCATGCACCTATTGAGTTTCTAAACTCACATGCAACCTAAACAACAAACATTCTAGCTTCCCTCACCTGAAGATTGGCTCAAAAAGCCAACAATTGTGACGAAATAGAATTCCTTTCCAAAGCTCAACCCGGAACTTCAATCCTTCCAAAGCAAGCTTTCTAATCTGAATTTCAAGAAAAGACAGAAGGAGTTAGTGATCTAGAGGAGAAAAGGAGTCAAACAGAGAAATTTGGGAGTGAAAGGAGCTCACTGACCCAGAGACCTTCTCTCTAAAAACTCACATTCTCCTAAAGGCCCCCAACCCCTATTTATAGACTTTCCGGATTGGCTAGAACGGCCCGTACCGAGTTCGGAACGGCCCGTTTCGAACTCCAAAATCACGCACAAAATCCACGCCCAGAACGGCCCGTTCCGGGAATCATCCAGAACAGCCCGTTCTCCTTCCGGAACGGCCCGTGCTCCAACCAGAACGGCCCGTTTTGGAATTTGGAACGGCCTGTTCTCCCTCCAGAACGGCCCATTCTCAAATCAGTTTTATAGGTCAATTCAGTAGTTTGGAACGGCCCGTTCCAGTTTGGGAACGGCCAGTTCTGGGTACTGAATCAACCATTTTTTTTTACGTTACATGTAACCTATATTTACTCACTCAAGCATGATTCTGACAATTAACATATAACAAAGAACAACATATACCACAAAACAATATATAACACAGAACAACATATAACACAAAACAACTATGCATAACAAACAATAACACTGAAATCTAAAACACGAATGAGATGAGAAACACATAAACAAAGTTCAAATCTCTAGGTTGCCTCCCAGGAAGCGCTTGTTTACTGTTCCGAGCCTGACTGTGACCAACTTGAATTACTCTAATTCTCTTTCTCCTCTTGTTGTTATTGTTCTTCTTTGCCTTGTGCTCAATCTCAGGATAGCTCAATAACTGCTCAGAAGGATTGGTCAATCTAGTTCACTAGTACCTTGCATACAAGAGAGAGCAGAAGACTAGAGTACATAGGTTAGCTCCAAGAATTCATTGTTAACATAAAAATAACAATAACAAGTCACAAATAGCTATAAATACTAAATTGTCTTGCTAATCCCCGGCAACGGCGCCAAAAACTTGTTGAGATTTCCGTTAAAACTATTTTTGTTAACACTTTAAATCACTTTTGTTCTATCAACGGTCTCAAACACAGTATACCGGTCGTTCAAGTAGTAAAATTATCGTATCCACAGGGATTAGTAGGTAAAATAAGCATTTATTGACTATTCGTGACTAAAGAATAATTCCAAATTCATAGTTTGTCATGCAAGTTGAATTAAAGGTTATGACTATTGGAATGTAAGCTATAAAAATATTTGATTGTGAGTGGAAAAGGGTAGAAATGGTATTATGATTTTTGTGAGATTGTGGGGTCAGATTTCACCAAACGTCAGACTAATGTATCCTTAATCTCTTGTTACATACATTGCTTAGTCAACCCATAAGTTTACTCAAACCTAATCCCTTAGAGCAAGAGCCTAGGTGCGGATATTGAATATCAATTCCTTGAGTACCCAATATCTACACCCGCATTACGGGCTAGGGTTTAAGACTACTAATGGGCCAAGCTCCATTCCTAGATACATTTCCCACTAAGCATTTGTTTCAGAGCTAGTTTCAAAGGTTATTTTCCAATACCCAATGGAACCTATATCATGCAAGGAGAATCCATCCAAGGCAAGCATTAAGAATAGAAACATACACAACAATGAATGAAATAACATGTATATATATCATTAAAACGTAAGGATTACAATAGAGTACATTGGTTACATCTAACCCCACAAAAAATGGGTAGAACCACTCAAAACAATGAGGGTAAACACAAAATAGAGATGAAGAGAGAATGAAGAACCGAAGGAAAGACTCACACACGAACGACTCCAAGCTCCGGGAATCCCTTCCACAGCTCCTAAAACGCGCCCAATGTGTGAATGAGGAGCAAAGCCTCGAAAATGTCTTCAAATACGAGTTTGGGGAGTCAGATTAGGGTTTCGCGCCTGGCGCATAAGTCTTTGAGCCCGGCACAAGGCCTTCCAGAGAAGTTGAGCACTATCTGCCTCAGGACACGCCCGGCGCAAATTCTTTTTACGCCCGGCGCAATGTCTCCTAAAGAGTTTGAGTCACTCTCTGCCTTGATCACGCCCGGCGCGGGTCTTGCGCCCGGCGCAGTCACTCTTCTCTGCTCCTTAACTCCTTAGGTTTCCAATCCTATGGGTCTTCAATCCTCAATTCTCTAGCTCAATACCTACACAAAAATGAGGTGTGTTAGGGTATGGGTTAGCTATATCTACACTCAAAATGAATCAAAAAGAGAACAATTATATTGCAATGATCCAAAGAATGAGTGGAATTGTTCAACAAGTCTTGTCCAAAAAGAAGTGTAATTGAGACTTAACATAATACAAATATTTCAACCAACAATATTGCTTTCTTACTAAAAATATATTATGTTTATTTTTTATTTTAATTAAAATTATAATTTATTCAAAACAATTTTATTTTTGATACTACTATTTTCCTACCTAATTAGCTAACTGTTAGGTAGTTTCTACTTTCTATCATAGACGCATTAGCGTGTTCTATTTAATTTTGGATGATATTTTAACGATGAATTAATATTGTTTAATTTTAAAAATTAGAAAGATTAAATTTTTAATAGAGAACTAAAATTATATATTTACAAAATTATATAAATAATATTTTTGAACAATATTATTTTAATATTTTAATATTGTTCTTATTTTTAAATATACTAATTTAATTTTAAATTTATATTTAAAAATATATAATTATTTTGGAAAATAAAAAATTATAACTTTGTTTTAATATATTAACTTGCTTTTAGAGACAAAATCTCTGTTTGTATTTTGTAATATATTAAGATGAGCTGAAAAGATCAGTAGGAGTTTGAATTACAACCTGCCAAATATAAGAATTTTTAGTTATAATAATTTTTTAAAACATTTTTATTCTTATTATTTTTTTAAAATACTCATATTTTTAAAATTAATTTATTTCAGAGATGATAATTGAATTGAAGTTAAAATAAATAAATAGAAAATTTGATATATAAAAAGAAAAATAAGTTGCCATTGTACAAGACCCACAATCCTGCATTCCCATTTCAGTGTGGCACAGTAATCTAATACGCTAATGGGACATTGAAACAATGCAGTAACTGAGGAAGTAACAGTGATGCTAATATAGTAATGCATTATTCTTTTATAAATAACATTATTGAAGACAAAATTTTCTATAATATTTTTACTAAATTGAAATATAAGTAAAAATAAATAAACAAAATTAATTTATTTTGATAAAAAGCTGGTTAACAATATTTATTTTGTTTAATTTTCTCTTCAAAATGTCATTCATTAAAATTTATTATCCAGGATAAAAAAAATCGTTGAAAACAGAATCTAAATTAAATTTAAATAAGAAATATTTTATAAATGATATCATTATAGAAATTATATTATCTCCAACCTTTAGGCCTCTCCAACAAAATAAAAATACAAGTAAAAGGAGAGGCAATAAAAAAATAGTTGTCAAATGAATGAGAAAGAAAAATAGAGAGAATGAAAAAAGATGGAAACAAGTATGGGTAAAGATTAAATCGGTCCATGGTTAACCAGGAAAAAGTTAATTAAACTTTATTTATATTCTAATTAAACTTTTTTGTTGCTTATATTTTAATCAGCAATGGATCCAAGTTATTATTACTTAAGGGAAGGGGGATTTTGGTTTTTTAGCAATAAATGTAAATAAATATTAGATTATAATTACTAAATATACCAATTATTTATCTAACTTATGAATATTATTCTTTTAAATTATAAAATCATCAAAAATATAGAATATAATTTAATTTTCAACCAAATTTTCAATATAATCATATATTTAAAATAATAATTTTTTTCAAAGTATAAATGAAGGGGGGTTCATCTCTGATTTCAATTTAAAGAAAGTAAGTTAGATGAGAAAAAAACTATAACAAGTCGTTAGTTTTAGTAGAAATGGACTTACTCTTATGTAAATAAAAATTATGACTAAATATATAAGTTTTTCCTTTCATTCAACAACCATAATAAGAATCAAATTCAAGATACTTCTAATCAAGGAGTTTAGGTCACTTAATCATACATTGTTATTAGACGTTGAGATTGGGAGGCTTCATTGAGACTTTAAAGGAAATGGCCAAAAACAATGCATGAAAATGGGAGGTGGCATATCTTGAAGTGTAAAGTGAAGACAATAGACTACGTGTCTTCATGGCTTTCTTTGCAACCAATGCATGTTACTTTGTGGAAGCATGCATGAGCCATGGTCCATGAGGTTGAGCCTTACCCCACTTCTTCATGAACTTAATTTATGGCTATTTACATTATCACCATCAATTTCACATATATAAATACTTCTAGCAAGGCTTGAAAAGAAAATGCAGAGTGAATAGTGAGAAGGGAGTATTTGAGGTCTTGCATGCTTTGGTTGGAGTTTGATTTACATAATCAAAGTGTGTTTTACTTTCATTCAGAGCACATTTTCGGTTTTTTGTTTTACTTTTCAGACCTTGATGCTTTTGCTTTGATTTTAATTAGTCATCCATGACTCCATTATCATAGATCACAAAGTTCTGTCTTATCGTGTTCTCAGCAATTTTCTACAACAATCAGTACATGAATACAATGAGTGTTATTTGAAATTCTCAAAATTCACTCGCATGGATCAAATGTTTGAACTTTAGACTAATTAAACACCATAACTATTTCCCCTTGTGTTTATTATTTTGTTGTCATTAGGCTCAAAAACATGCTTGCAGAAAAGTGTTATTTTTTTATTTTTATATTTATTTCAACTTTAGATTGAGAATCAAAAGGAAATCTCATATAAATTTTTGGTGAGTTCCATTTTCCATGAAACTTATTCACTTAGTTTTCTGTTTCTATGTATAAGGCTTTTGGTTTTCTGATGGAAATGGAGAATGAGAATGGCATCACACAACAGGCTCCGAGACCAAAATATGATTGCCTCCTATTTGGTAAGCCTTTCAATCTGAACCTTTTTTAGTACCAAATTCAAATATGGTTTAATTACTTTTTGTCCTTACATTTTATAAATTTTTTCTTTTAATTTTTATAGTTAAAAACAGTTCATTTTAATCTTTTACATATCATTTTTTTTCCTTTTAGTTTTTATTATTTGTTCTTATAAAAACTAAAAGATAAAGTATATGAAATTACAGATTAAAATAATAATAATAAATGGTGTAAGAACTGACCTGGACTATTTTTAATTATAAAAATTAAAAAGTAAAATCAATGAAATTATAAATACCAGAGAAATTAAACCTTCAAATTTTATGTTTGAGCATACTGCTACAACAGAAATTTATTTTGCAGATTTAGATGATACTTTGTATCCCCTCAATTCTGGTCTTACAAATGAAATTGTCCTAAATATTCAAGGTAAGGGACTGTGCCACATTTGTGCAATAGTATTCTCATTAATTTCTTTACACTTTCTTCTTCATTTAGTCTTGACATGAGTGGTACCATTGATCTTAGACTACATGGTTGAAAAGCTTGGCATAGAACCAAGTAAAACAGAAGAATTGGCCAACCTTGTTTACAATAACTATGGAACTACTATGGCTGGTCTGAGGGTATGATTTTCTTTGTTTTCCTTATCATTTCCTGTTAAATAAGTTTTAATCCTTAAATTCTGAATCTGAAAGGAATAAATATATTTTTAGTTTTTAAACTTTTGTCAAATTTTATTTTTAAATTCTAAACAAAATTCATTTAGTTCTATTTAATGCTTAAAATGTTCATTCATGAAAAAAAGAATCTTGAAACCAAAGCTAAAGATACTAACACAGAAAAGTTTCAAGCTAGATGAGTTTAAAGTTAGAAGTGAAAATTGACAAGATTTTAATACATAAAAATATATTTAATTCATTATGAAAATACTAATAATTTATTCATTGTCTCATCTTTCATTTTCTATTCAGGCAATTGGATACGACTTTGACTATGAAGAATATCACAGGTTCTTTTTCTTCTTTCTTTTGTTCCGTCAATTTCAAATGGCATATGAGTGATTGTTTTGCCCCCAATCCTTGTGTTTTCATTTTTTTTTGGAAATGATGGTATTGACTCTTGAAATTCTGTGGACAGTTTTATTCATGGGAAATTACCTTATGAGAACTTGAAGCCAGACCCAGTTCTAAGAAATCTGCTTCTTAGCCTGCCTTATAGGAAGCTTGTAAGTTATATATAATCAAAATGGAAGAGGTGGAATAGTGCATAATCTAAACTATTTTGTTCTTATACAAATATCAAGAAAGTGTCTTAACATACTATTACTATTAACAATTATATACACATAACTTCAGAAAATATTTTAAATATTATTATCCTTGGTCATGCAACATCCACACCAGTCCTTTTAAGTAATTGACCATATTCCAGTCAAAATATTAAAATATTTAAAAATCATCTTAGGTTAAAATTATTTTTGATCTCTGAAAATATAACATATTTTTATTTTAGTCTTTTAAAACAAATTATTGACTCTTGTCCCCACATTTATCAAAAGCCCAGCAAGGACTAAAAATGTGTTTTCCTTAAAACATAAGGATTACAAGTAAAAAAAAAAAAAACTATATGAATTAAAACTTAACCACATATTTTATGATTTATCTGTATGTTATTTAATGATGATTAGCATATAGTATTAATTTCAAATGACACCCTCATTAGCATATTCTCTTTTCTTCCTTTTCTAATTATTTGTAATTCCATCCAACACTTGATTTTGTTTTGTGAATAGATCTTCACCAACGGAGACAAAGTCCATGCGATTAAGGCACTCAAAAGGCTTGGGTTGGAAGACTGCTTTGAAGGAATCACATGCTTTGAGACCCTTAATCCTGTCCACAAGAGCACTGTTTCTGATGATGAAGATGACGTGGAGTTTGTGGGTTCAAAGACCACAAATCCAAATGTAACACCTGAAAATGGTGTAAAAAGCTCTGAAATCTTTGACATCATACAGCATTTTGCTCAACCTGATCCCACTACAGTCCTTCCAAAGACACCAATTATCTGTAAACCATCAGAACATGCCATTGAACTTACCCTCAAGTTAGCCAACCTTAACCCACAAAGAACCGTAAGAAAATGACCCTTTTGACTTTATCATCTAATTTCGTTAATTTGACATATTTGTTTCTACTTTGGTATGTTTCAGTCCTTATCAATATAACCAATTTTGACTTTAATTCTTTAAATTTAGAAAATGCTTCCAATAATGAAATGAAATGTATATAAATATCGTGTTACATGTTATTATACGCTAGTTATTGACGTGACATGTTTACATGTACGTCACATTATTTATGAATAATGATATGGACACTTAAAAAAGTAAAATAAGAGAACTAAAATTAAAAAAAAAAATAGAATAATAATTGAAGATTAAAAATCAAAATTAAATACTCATTTTAGTCTCTAAAAGTGGCAAGTATTATACATTAGTCCTTGAAACTAAAAACATGATAAGTTCCTAACATGTCAAATAAGTCTCTAAACTCAAGTATTTATTATCATTTATTCATTTTGATCTTGTTATATATATTAGCATTATCACTTTAATCACATAAATTTTTTTAATTTTGAATTAATATGATTGTCAATTTACACTTTGAAAGACTTATTTAATATTTTCTTAATTCTAGGAACTAATATAACTTCACCTTTCTTAGTTTTACCTCTTTGCTTACATCTTATGGATTTTTTTTGGTCACTTTCAGTTGTTCTTTGACGATAGTGTCCGCAACATACAAGCTGGGAAACGAGTGGGTCTTCACACTGTGCTGGTATGCAATTGTTGGAAATTTTGTTTTGTGGTAGAAACTGACTTAGGACTAGTTGGACAAACTTTTTCAGAATTACATATAGAAGAAAATAGAAAAAAAAATAGTTTATCTATATGCTAAAATAGTAAAATTAGTTTGCAGAAACTCTCGTTAATTTTTTTCAAAAAAAAACATTTTTTTAATGTATGCATAAGCTTTACCTTTTAGAGAAGCTACTTTCTTTTTTCTTTCATATTTTCTCCTATAAGTACTTCTGAAAAAAAATATATATATATATATAGCAACAACAACGACAATTTCTTATACTATCAGTCAAAAAGAAAATTAATTTCTTATATTATCTAACATTCGATGCAAACTAGATAAACTCATATTTGATAAACTAGATAAACTAAATAAGAAAGACTTAATAGGATTGACTAAAATAATGGCTATAACTTTTTTTGATCCAGTGGAAATAACAGCTATAACTAGTGAATTGATTGTAATTAAAATGAAATTGGTATAATAAATAGAATAGAAAAATGTATTTGGTTACTTCTCGGTTAAAAGGTGGTTAGAGAGAGGATGGGCTCTCGAACATTTTCATTGGTGTCATTTCAATTCTTTTGTAATTTCCCTGCTTTTACTTTAGAGAACTCATTGTTCCTTGAAGAATTCATCACTAAGGCTTTGTTTGGATTTGAGGATGGAAAAGAGGGAGTGAAAAATGAGAGATTTAAAGGGAAAGTGAGTAAAAAATGAGGTTGTTTGAATTAAGGGAAAGTGAGTGGAAAGTGTAGAGAAAGTATGTGAAAATTTGTGAGTGAATTGATTGATGTGATAGATAAAAATAAATTTTTTAATTAATAATTATATAAGATTACTATTTTGCCCTTAAAAAATTTATAATTATTATAGTTAAAAGATAAATATATAAATTTTAATTAAAAAAATTATAACCTTACTTTAAGCAATGATTCCTTTATAAGAGTCTGAATGCACAAGAACTAATTTGAGGCTCTATACACATTGATTGGTACTACATCCAGGTTGGTACATCCCACAGAGTTAAAGGTGCTGATTATGCAGTGGAAAGCATTCACAATCTTAAGGAGGTAGTGCCTGAACTGTGGGAGACTAACATAAAACCACAAGTTGCAATCCCGGGGACTGAGAAGCTTGCAGTGGAGACACCAGTGATAGCCTGAGACTGCAAGAATGCCCCCTTTAATTATTGACTTATCGATAATAAATTTAAATAAAGGACAAGCCAATGGGGGCTTCCCATCTTTAGATGGATGTGATAGTTACTGAACTTGATGTCAATGCTTAGTTCTTGACAAAAAATAAAAGTTAATAATGTGTTCATTTTGCAATAAATTACTATATGAAATAAATTATCTGGTTTGGCCTTAATTGTATAATAAAGAATGTCTATAACTAATTATTGTTCTCATTTAGCAACATTTTAAATAATCTGGTATCTAGTAGCAAAATTTTATACAAGTAATTAGTATATGACAATACCTGAATGCAGACTTCCGCAACATTAGCACTACTTATGTTTCCTGAATTCAGCCTGAGGAAGGTCATCTTTTTTTCCCAGAATGTTATCATATAACAATCTCTTTCTTGAAAGCCACCAGTAATTTAGCATAGAAGTTAACTGAAAAACAGGCAAGAAAGGAAAGACAATCTCACAACAGTGAGCATATCTATAAGATCCCGACCATGGAATACTTACTGAGCAATAGCAATGAGTAAAAACGATAGTCAGACAACAATATGTGAATGTATTATGTAATATTTGATCATGTGTTTGGTAAAGAGCTATAAGTTAAGAGCTGGAAAGCTTATAAATTAACTGATTTAATTGAAAGTATTTCATAAGATTTACTGGAAAGTTTATAACTTAATTTATTGAATTGAAAACATTTAATAAGATTAATTGATAAACAAAACGATTATTATTTATTATGAAATAACAAATTTATTTATTTGAAATAATGAGAGCAAGAGAATAAGATGTAATCAAAGTGGCTCCAAATTAAAGAGTAAAAACAGATTTGGATAAAAAATAAAATAAAATAAAAAATAAAAAACTAGAAACTTGTATGTTTTAAACTACTCCAATTTCAATTTACTTATAGAAATAAGTTATAAGCTCTTAAAATAAGCTTTCATACTGAATAAACTTATTTTAGTCAAACTAGCTTATAGGCCGGTTAAAAGGAGTTATAATGCAGTTCGTATTATATAAAGCATACAGACCAGAAAATAATACTTTCACCGATCAGTTATACATGATTATTTTATTTTTATTTTTCCTAAACAGAAGGGTTTTGTTAGGTAAACATATTGAAGATTGCAATATGATAATGTTTTATAATTAAACCAAAAAAAAGTATCACTCCTAATTGAATCCTTTCTTTGTACAGAGTAGTATTGTTAGGTGAAGTTCTATGTTGACACCACCACTTGTAGATAGAGAACCCAAGATTTTAGTGGGAACCACTACGAGATTTCACCCAATAATAGATACCACGTTAAAAAGAAAATGTCAATTAATATGTCACTAGCATTCCGCAAATATAAAACAAGAAATTAAAACCATTTGTCTCATTAAAATTGTCACAACACATAACAACATATATTCCTTATGCAGATGACTGACTATCCCCATGTTGGACTGAATATTCAGTGAATCACTAACCAGATCTCTCTTTGTTTCAGCACTGTTTTCTCTTTGGCTGTACAAAGAAGTTCAATGTGATTATCATCAGCACTATTTGGACCCGGTATATCATTCTTCTTACTTAATGCAATTTCTCTGATGCGGTAAGAACAGAACTTATTTTGCATTAGTACAAAGTCGTGCAGAAAAGGCAGATGCAAATCACAACAAACTCACAACATTAGCACATCTATGAACATCAAAATGTTCAGTCAGTAGCGATGACCACCTTAAAATCAGCCATCAATATTAATCAGTCGTCATCAGCATCTTCCAGTGGACTAACCTCACCAAACCATCTAGGTGGATCATAACCATGCCCACCTAAACACATAAGGAATTAAATTGTAACACATTTAAAACAAAAAATGTAGCTCAAGTTCAGAAGAAAAACCATAAGGAATCAAATTTATTGATAATACAATACCAAGGGGATTGCAACGACACAAACGCCATGCAGTCAAAACTGTACCCTTCATCACTCCATATTTCTTATAAGCCTGCATGGAATACTCACTGCATGTTGGAATGTATCGACAACTCTTTGGCAAAATTGGTGAAATTTCCCCTGCACATATGAACAATGGCATGTTTCAGAAAACAGGTTAATAAGTCTTTATTCAATAATCTTTTATCAAATAAGATTTATCCTTGAGCTTAAATTTGAAATTTAATAAAAAAAATTATAAAAAAGTCTTATTTTGATAAAAGCTTCTATGTGAAACTTGATAAGTTGAAAATGTTTGTAGAAAAATTATAAGCCACTTTTATAAGCTTAAATAAGCTCTTTCAAGATTCCAAATGCCCCCCAAATTCAGAATCACCAATCACTATGCATGTTAATATCCTTCGCTCACCAATCAATATGTACGTTTATATCCTTGGCTCTTACTAGCTAGGACTTAGGATCAAATCTAGCTTCCCTTATACTTTATACCCTTACCTACAAATTTGTGCTGAAGATGGAATAGACAATTTGTAATTCCACTAAAAATTCTCAAAAAAAATTGGTAGGTGACTCTGACCTTGCATGAGGTCGAGTCTTATCTTAATGTAAACATTTAATTACCAAAAAAAAGAAAAAGAAAAAAACTAAACCAAGCAAACAGTACATCAACAAAAAATGAAAAGTCATATGAAATTTGCAAGAGAGAAAAATGTGATTTAGGTCTCTTAATTTTCAGATAAAATTAACTTTAGTCCCTATAATTCAAAAATGATGATTTTGAAAATCGTATCTTTGTGCTTCTTTATCATTGGTGAATTTCGTTCCTCATTCTAGTATCTAGGTTCCTTTGTAAGTTCTCTTTGAGCACAGAGGCTCTCCCTGTCTTAGACTAAACACCACCCTCTCCACCAAAAAATTTCGCGAATCAACAGGATCTTAAGATCCCTAAAAAGTGATATTACCAAATATCAAATATACGATAATCAAAATCATAGTTTTTGAAGTATTGGAACCAAACCAATACAACTGGGACTAATACCAATTTGAACATAATACTGAGCACCTAAAACACAATTTACTCAAAATAAAATATCAGTGAATATGGGACCAATAACAACTCCTGTAACGAGAATGACCATTTGGAATCGTAAATAGGTCCCTACCTTAAGTTCATGGTCATTTCCGTTACTTACTGCAAAAATTTTAATAGAAATTACGAAAGAAAAAAGAAAAAAAAAGTTACTCTTGTAGAATCTCAACATGGACAGTGCAGCTTTGACTCCCAAATTGTTCACCTCGCCATCTGAGAAAGATTTCAACAGTCAAAAGTAAATTCGGTGGCAAGTGAATTAGCTTAGCATACAGAGAGAGAGAGAGAGGGTACCTTGGACGGTTTCAGGATTGGAATCTTCGTTAAATGCACGAAGGAATGGGGTGCGATGATGTCTTAGGGTTTGGAAAGGAAGAGAAGAGAGATTAGGGTTTCGAATTGGGGTGGGAGAATAGGGGTTGAGAGGTAGAAAAAGAGTGGCCATGACCGCCACTGCTATGTTGGCCTTGCCTCCTGCGCGCAACGTTCAGTCACTATAAAATTGTTAGGAAAATTCTACGTTACCCACTACCGGTACGGTCGTCTAATTTTTTTATTTTTTATTTTATTGTAATTATTTGTTTTTGTTTTTATTTTTATTTTTATTTAATATTTTTAATAATTTATTTTTATAAAACTTCTATATTTTTATATTTTTTTTATATTTTTAAATTTTTATTATGTATTATAATTAAATAGTGTAATATTAATATTTTGTTAATATGTTTTAATTTTTTTTCTAATTTTTTGAATTTATAATATAAATTAGTTTTTCAGTTATATTATTTATTATTTTTCTATTTTAATGTTTTTATAGTACTATTATAATTTTTTAATTCTGTTATATATAAACAAAATTTGTTATAAAAATTAACATTTTGATATTTTTTTGAATTAATCTTTTTATTAATTTATTTATATAAATTTTTAATCTAAAATTTATGTTATTTAGAGTTTATTTTTAAAATTTATTTATTCACATAATTTGAAGTACCAAAATCTTTCATAATAACAATAGTAATACGAGGACAATAAACTATTGAGATTTTTAAAACTATTGTTTTTGTTTTTATAAGAAAATATTTTTGGATTTAAAAAAAATATTTAATAGTAATTTATAAGATTCTTTTTAAAAAAAAATTATTTGTGTGATTTGAATTTTAACAGAATCGTATGATAAAAATTAGAATTTATAAGATTTAAAAACAAGAATTATGTTGTGATCTTTTTAATAGATAAAAAAAAATAGTATTACCGGATAATGTCTCCAACCACCTGGAACGTGTCGCAATGTTCCCCATATCTTTTTCCTAACTCACTTTTCTTTGTCCTTTGCATTTTCCTTTTTTCTATCAATACCATGTTTTTTCACCGACTATGCTAAAAACGAAAGGGGTACTGTAGTATTTATAAATTTGATCTCCGCCTTCAATATGTAATCTCAATTAAAAAATATCATTTTATCACTAAAGTAGATTGAATTGTTGGGAAGAAGTTATTCTTCCTGCTATTAAAAAGATGGCTAAAAACCTATTTTAGTTTTTTATAATTTTTTTCTTTCAATTTAGTCTCTTATTAATTTTTAATCTCAATTTGATCCCAAACTAATTAATTAGTTTTAATTTAGTCTCAAATTAATTAATTGATTTTAATATGGGACTTTCCGTCCAAATTGTTTTAACGGTGTTAATTTTTGGCCACGTGGACGTCACGTAGATGCATACGTGGATGCAAGATAGAGATGCGACACAAATCTCAAGAAGTACAATAAAGGGGAGAGATATAGAGAATTTTTTGTGCTCAAAGGAGTCTTATTCGAAATTTCACTGGCCTCTTGGAGAACTGTGCCCAAGTCTTCTATTTATAGGCATTAGAAGGGGGCCAGAATGACCCTTTCCTGATTCGGAACGGCCGGTTCTGGGCTAGTCCGTTATGGGTAAAATAAGAAACTGGAACGGCTCATTCCAAAAGTGGAACGGCCCGTTCTGGGTTCGAATTTTACTTACACAAAGCTGTTCTGGAACGGCTCGTTCCAAACTAGGATTTTAAGCCCATTTGATGATTTAGAACGGCCTTTTCCAGTTTTAGAACGGCCCGTTCTGGGCAAGTTTGTTATAGGTAAAAATAAGAATCTAGAACAGTCCGTTCCTAAAGTGGAACGGCCCGTTCTAGGTTCAAATCTTGCTTACAACAACTTGTTTTGGAACGAGCCGTTCTGTTTTGGGAACAGCCCGTTTCGATCTTGGAACAGCCCGTTCTAGGCTATCAGAACTAGCTTATTTAGGCTTTATGTCTTCTGATATCACGTGCTGTTGTTTCCATGCTTCGGAAGCTCCTTCCCTTCATAACGGAGGTCCATTTCCTTGTTTGTGTGCCCCCAGACGAAATTGGGTGTCTACACTTTGTCACCTAGGTCTACACGGGCTACACCTCCCCTCTTCTCCCATGAGTGAGTTTAGGGTTTATTGAGTGGTCTTCACCTCCACTTGGTGAAGTAAGCCAACCTAGAGCAACCTAGACACCTTCCCCTTCCACTTTCTCCTATTCGCCCACCATAAACACCTCACGCCCATCATCATTTTCCTCCACCCTTGAAGGAAAGTCCAGCACCTAAAGCCATCATCTTGGCCGTGGCAAGGAGTGTCTCTCCCACCTTGGACGTTTTGAGTTTCTAGTGTTGCTTTTTTGAACCTGAGGTTTATGTAGTTCGGCCCTCTCGCTTGTACCGAATATGATATGTTAGCCCTTAGATCAGGTGTACCTAGACTCTGTTCTAGGACACCTCCATCTTTTCCTTGTGAGTGTTCACTGTGCATATTTCGTGTATCTCTCAAATTTATCTTAATGCCATGTAGGTCAAGAGGAATGAGAGGAAGGGGATATATACATATATCCGACTAGTTACTTGTATTTCCTTTCTTATTACCTTGTTTAGTTTCATTTTAAATTGTTTGAATCTTGTTGGCTGAACCTTGTTCGACTAGAGTAGATTTAGTTTCTTTCACGTTAGTGTGGTTGTATAATTTTTTTTTTGAAAATTCATAAGCATAAAATATTGTGAAAAGAATTTAGCAGTGAGATTAACATAAAGGGGTTTAGTAATTTCTACTTGAAAAGACTTGGTTATTAAGTGACTCTTAGTAGCTCACTTCCCTTGATAGTGCAATTTGTATACTTAGAACTCTAAGTGTTTAGTTTTCCTCCACCCAAAAACAAAAAAAAAAATCCAATTTCCCGTTCTAAAAACAGAACGGGTCGTTCTGAAAGAAGAACGGGCCGTTCTGAAAGAAGAACGGGTCGTTCTGGTTTCAGAACGGCCCGTTCTGCTTCACTGGTGGTGTTTTAATTTTGCAACCAGAACGGCCCGTTCCGGTTTCAGAACGGGCCGTTCCGGGTCCAGGTGTTTTTAAAAAAATTCTCATCTATGTAGATACCACGTATGCATCTACGTGACATCCACGTAGCCAAAAAAGTTAACTCCGTTTAAATAATTTGGACGAAAGTTCCACATTGAACTAATTAATTAATTTGGGACTAAATTAAAACTAATTAATTAATTTGGGACCAAATTGAGACCAAAAATTAATGAGAGACTAAATTGAAACAAAAAAAGATTATGTTGGGCCCGATAGTCCACCTGTTTCTCCACCATAGTATGATATTGTCCGCTTTGGGCTAGGCCCGCACGGTTTTGTTTTTGGGCTCCTTCCCAAAATGCCTCATACTATATGAAATGGTGGACACCCTTATAAACTAGCCAATGTTCCTTTATTTTACAGATGTGGAACTTGGGATGAATCCCAAAAGATTATAAAGGACCAAAATAGATTTTTAGCCTAAAAAGATAATCATTGTTGGATTTGTATTTATGAACACGATAAGAGCATTTCCATAAGTGATGCTCAAAGCGGTTCATATTATGCATAGCATCTTGAATAGACTCAACCATTGGAAGCAGATCTTATGAGAGTGCAGTGCTCATTTAAGCATTGGTACTTGTCTCTGTGTAGAACTAAGAAGGTACATAAAAATTAAAATATATATTAAAAAAATTATATAACAATAAAATAAAGTAGTTTAAAGTCACTAGTAAGACCCATTTAGCAAAATTTTTAAAATCATTAGGTTAAAAAAATAGTATTTAAATGATAAATAAGTAAAAAAAATGTGTAGTAGTAAAATATACTTAACTTGTGCAATAAAATAAAAATAATAATTAAAGTAAAATGTTGGATTAGAAATGGCCTGATGACATTGATAGATCAGCCAAAAAAATATTTATTTTGACCAACATTTTAAAATGTAAACTGAGCTATTGGAAGGAAGAGTAACTAGGGAGTAACGCATACTTGCAATAGCTTTACTGTATTATGGCAAATTGGCAATTAAATACATCTTAAATAAAAACATATAAAGAAATTATAAATTAAAAACAGACTTTTTTCTCTCTATGTATTATTGAGCTCTATAGTTTGTTCTAGTGTTTATACAATCTTTAACATGATTTCCAAGACAGTAATTTGCTGAAATAGCACTAATGATTCCCGGGTATCCCACCCTTATTCAATAAGTATTTATAGACCATGACCACAGCATTCAGTATTAAAAACGAGCCGTGATCTGGGAAAACAATGCCTTGAAGTTCTTCGTTGGTGTACCTTCTCCCTCAGGTTTTGATGCCAAGTCAAAAGCCTTGAATTTAACCTCCTCAAAGTTTAGTGCCTGTCAAACCATTCAAACCAAGAATTGATATCCCGCTTCCAAATCTCATAAAAACATTTGAGTAAACTATCAATTTACTCCCTCACTTTGTAGGGTATCAAATTAATCTTTGACATAAAATTATACTACAAATCTCCCACTTTTATTTTGTTAGTCATTTTGATCTCTGTCATGATCTAAATGATAATAAATTATAAAAGTTAGAGACTATAAATCAGTAAGTTTATGTCGGAAACTAAAATCACGAAAGTTATTAAAATTAAAGACTAATGAATGTATGTAGGAGATGTATTTGCTATCTTTTATTAATGTTAGGACGACTATTTTGACAACGTCTAGCAAAGTGAAGGACCAAAATAATAGTTTACTCAAAAACCTTAACAAGAACAGAAAATTTGAGGAACTTTTATAGCACATGGAGAAGCTGATTATTTTTACTTGTGGCCAAAATAAAGTTCTAAAAAGATATACCTGAACGCAGACTTCAGCAACATCAGCTCTAGGTATGGCTTTGGTTTCAGTCTGAAGAAGCTCGTCATCCTTTCCCACAATGAGTTCCCTTAGGCCTCCTTCTTTATCTAGCAAGCCACCAGGCCTGATTCAGCACAAATGGTGAGGAAATGTTGTACAGATGCAAACAAACTAAACACATCCACAAGCATGCTATTCACCAAGAATTTTAATTTTCATTGGCAACAAGTATATTGAAACAAGCTTGCTCAAAATATATGCAAAATAATTATAATAAAGAACGTCCAAGACACCCGCGCCACTATATGTAGTAGATATGAAAACAGATGAGAGAGTATTTAAATTATTAAGCATCAGATGGAGTGATGTATGTATATTATCAGTTGTTCCTTAAGAACATCTCTAATGCAAGAACTCAATTTGGGTTTTTAACTCTTTCTAAGTGAGTCCTTTATTGCCACAAAGGATTTAAGAATACTCACTAATTTTACTCCAATGGTAAAACACAACTGAAGTTCTTAACTTACTTCTAGTAGGTCTCATTCTGTTTCTCTACTCATACAATAACTCATTTCAACTTAACAAATACTTTTGAATGGTTAAGCAACCTTGACACCTTGTGATAGTTGCTTTTAGTTATATAATCAACTTCTATAAGAACACTAAGAATCCATTTGTTCCAATGGTTTTTCCAAATTACTTAATTTAATAAACCAACTTAAGCACCTTCACTGGAGATGCTCAAGATATTTAAAATCTTTCATATACAAGCCAAGCATCAAATATCAACATTCACTCGAGATTACAAGATAAGATAATAGCGTCTGCCCCTGAGAATAACATCAGGAGTTCTAAAAGTTTTCAACTCGACCAAACAAGATATCAAAATATTGTCGAGTACTCGAGTTGATTCAAGAGAGTTTCCTGAAGTTGCTAAGGTTACAAGTCTAGGTACTAGGTACGGAGTTTTTCAATTTAAAATACAATTTCAAGGAAATGGCCAATCAGTCTAAAGGGTGATGTACTTTTTCCATTACAACAACATAAAACAAAAAGGAACAAACCCGAGAGACCTAGAACAACTATATGTCTTAAAATGGATAGAAATATGTGTACCTTATGATCGTGTATGGAACACCAGAATCAGCCAGATATTGTTCAGCCTTCCTCTTCCAAATCTGAGATCAATATGTAACTATAAGCAGTCTATCAAAGGAGGAAAATATAACGATAGGGAAGAAGAGAAAATGGCTAAACTAGCATTCTTCTTTGAAATGAAACTTAATCCCTGTTTAAATTAAAAAATAATAATAAAAAAAAAGAAAAAGAAAAAATAAAAAAGAAAAAGAAAGAAAAAACTAGGCCATAATGTTATGAAAGAATCCAGTATAAAGTATAGGAAAGAATATGACTAACCAATATATTCCCATTTCCCAAGCTGTTCAAAGGATGATTAGGGTTTGTTCCACCCATAGACCCAACCAACACAATATGCTTAACTCCTGCATCCTTGGCTATATTCACAGGGATAATCCAATTTTAATATCACAGGTATGGACAAATTTACACAATAAATGGAATGAAGACAGATTCTTACCAGCATCTATTTGATTTTTCTGCCCAATCCAGTCAACCTAAAATATGAAGCTATAGTGTTAATTAAGGAATGTGTGTATACATATATAAATGAACCGACCATGCATAGGGAATATGTAATAGCACCTGTTCAGGATATGCACCATCAGCATAATAGAACTCTGGCCTTCCACCTTTGGTTGGATCAAATCCAGGCTTCATTTGTGGTACTGCACTTGTGAGAATAATGAGAGCATCTGTACCTTGTAATGCAGGTGTAATACTTCCTGCATCTCTGATATCCCCAACAAAAACATCATCTGCACCACCAATTTTCTGTTTGCTTTCTTGTGTTCTAACAAGGCCTCTGGTAACATACAGGTTTGACCTCTCTTTTAATTTTTTATACACAATTTGTCCTGAATTAGCCAAAGAATCACATTGAGAATCGTCGATTAGAGAAAAAAAAAATTGTACCTCACTTTATCAAAAACTATATATGAATACGAAAAGAGGTTAAAAACTGCAGTCATTAACGACTAGCCTTGGCTTCAGCTTTAAGATCAAAAAAGATAAGGTAGTGTTGTCTACCCCCCAAAAAATTATTATTAATCTTTCTTTACAAGGATCAAGTTACTCTAAGTGTAACTCTTAAAGAATTATTTCTTATCTTCACCCTTTATTTCCTTTTAATCTAACAGTCAAGGAAAAGTTACTTATTAGAACCATTAGATTAAAAGAAAATGAAGGATAGAATTAAACAACTTTTTTAAAGTTACTTTTGGAGTATTTGATCCCCTCTCATTTTTTATAGTTTTGATCATTTTTTAAGATATTGTGATTTTACTAATAGTGTCCGTTAAAATCTAATCACTTCTTTTCCCCATGAATTTTTAATTTTTCATATTTTTTTGTACGGTTGGTTCAGTCAACCTTTGTTTAAACAAATACCAATCACTTCAGCAGTACACTTAAAAATTTTCATTATTTCTCAACAAACATGAAAAGTTAAATTCACTCTTCTCAAAACCATATCCAATACACTAAAAGCAATAAAGTCCCAAATTTCTTGGTATCCATCTTGCCACAATGAAATCAACCACTCTACACCCTTAAGTTGACAAGGCTTCAATTTTCCACTTGCCAGCAAAGGCATGAGCTCTTTCTGCTCCTTCTTACAGTCCTCATTCATGTCCATAAGCTTCAGTCTCCTCAATTTCTTTAGATCTTGTCACAGCAATTATATATGAAACCTACTTACAAACACCTATTTAACATCTATTTCTCAACCTCTCTCTTTTTATTACAACATATTTATACTTCTGTGTCTTCTCTCTCTAGGTGTCAATTAACATTGAAGTGTCTACCGATCTTTTTCCATCTTGTCAGCATTTCGGCCTCCGTAGTATTGTACTGTGAATGAACTTTTCTTTTTTATCACCAGTCATTCTTTGCTGTTGAAAATTGCCCTCTTGTATTGTACCTCCACATTCTCTTGTTCACCCATGGTAAGTGTAATGTCTTCCACTTTTCCATTCCACCATTTTCTCAAGAAACCATAAAGTGAAGCAAAAACAAAAAAAAAAAAGGAAAAAAAAAGGGAGGGGTAAAACCTGGATTAGCCAAGCCACACCTTACACAACACAACACACCCTCAAAATCAACCAAACTGTTCCTATTCTTCCCATTCAGCTTGCATCACGAGAAATAATTGTGTGGTTTTGAATCACATGATCCTTAACAATTCTCTATGTATTATGTAATCAAGTGTTATATAGTGATTAATTGGGTCATAGATACTTGGTGACTACCAAATAACTTATCCTGCATCACCGTCAAGTTCCCCTTTCCCCCAGACCAAAAGTCCAACAGTGCCAATCCCAAACACCAAAAGAAAACACTAAACACATTCTTAATTTTCAATTCACCTTCTAATTCCACCCCCTTTCGATTTATTTATTTATTTTAATAAAACTATTCAAATCAGAATTCACTCCTTCGAAATTATTTATTTCCAAAGCAACACAACATCTTCGCCACAATTCAGAGTTCATGCCTCGACTGACAGGTGGAAAATTGAAGCCTTATCAACTCAAGGGTATCAACTATCAACTGAAGCGTGTAAAGTGGTCGATTTCACTGCAGCAAAATGGATTGAACAGGACTCTTGCTGATCAAAAGGGCCTTGGTCCTAGGAAGACAATTCAAACAATTTTGATTTCTCTTAAATCTAAAAGGGAGTGGTCTTGATGGCAAATACACGAAAATTGTTCCTCTATTAACCATCTCCAAAATAATTCACAATAATCGAAATTACAAATTTCTGTAATGTAAGCAAATCAATGACATTTGTGTGAATTAAGAACAAAATAAAATGGCATGAAAGCAACGGGAAGAAAGAGAGCACCTGTGCGACCACCAGCTCCGGTTACAAGCACGGTTTTCGGGGAAGAATCTGCCATAGATATATAATGATACAGTGCAATTGGGACTGTGGATATGTTCAAATTGAGAAAAACAAGGAGAATAGGGAGTTTTTTTTTTTAATATACTGTTTTTTTTTTTTATTTATTTAAATGACCCAAAGTGAAACATATTCTCTCGAGGGTATGATTGGTTTTTTTTTTCTTTCACTCCCATAACTGTTGCATGGTTTTTCATTTTGTTTTTTATTCTTCACACCTTTTCCGTTTCTTGTCACTCTCTCGGTAATACCTTCAACTTTTCACACTTGAAGGCTTATGAGGTATGAATTTTTTGTTTTCATGGCTTTCCATGGCTTCTTCTCCATTCTTTTGTCTTCTTTTCAGATTTTTTATTCTTCATGTTGTCTTCTGATTTTACTCATCTAATCATTATGTGGTCTGTGTTTTACAACTCTTACTATTGTAGTCTTCTTCTTATTCTTACTGTATATTTTTTCTATTTATTATTATTTACCCTCTTTCTTTTTCTTCATTTTTTTTAAAAATTCTTTTGCCAATATGAGTTTGTTTCATATTAAAAGTTTGCCCTTTAATCGTGGAGTGTATGATTTATGTGTTCTTATTTTAAAATTTTGTATTAATTGTAAATAAAATAATTTAGTTAAGTTTTTAGAATAAGAATAAATAATAAAATAATTATTAAAATAATTAAAAATTTAACTAAATTATTCTATTTAAAATTAATTTTATTTAATTTTATTCTTTAAATTTAATTTTAAATACATTTTTATAATCTAAATTTAAAATAATAGAGACTTTTTTTTTTTAATATACTGTTTTTTTTATTTATTTATTTAAATAACCCAGAGTGAAATATATTTACCTAAATATACCACCTAGTTTTGTAGGTGAGAAATCGGTTACTGGGTAACCGATTTCTCAAAGGGATTTTTCAAAATTTTGGAAAAATCCCTTTGAGAAATCGGTTACCCAGTAACCGATTTCTCACTTAAAAAATCAAGTGGTATATTTAGGTAAATATATTTCACTCTGTGTTATTTAAATAAATAAATAAAAAAAACAGTATATTAAAAAAAAAAGTCGAGAATAGGAATATAAAAGAAAGGAAAAGAGAAGCTTCTAGATGTTTGGAGTAAGGAAACATTAAATAGGAAGGAGAAATTGCCACGTGTATTTATACCATTGGTTGTGGGAACTTAGAATAGAAGGGAGTGCAAAAATGAGAGGAAAAAAACGTGACTACGAAGAAAATTAGACAAATTATTCTTTAATTCTTCATTTTTTTTAATTTATTTAATTTGGCTCCATAATATTAAAGGGTTTTACTTCATCTTTTATTTTTTTAAACGACATAATATATTTATTTCTGTTTAATTGAAATTAACGACTTTAATTTTTTATACATGTGAAAATGACACGTATTATGTACAAAAAGTTAATATTATAAGTTTTAATTGGTTATTAATTATATCATTTTAAAAAATTTAAAGAAACAAAATAAATCATTTAATAACGAGGGGCTAGGATGAATTTATAGCATGGGTTGTTGGGAACTTAGAAGAGAGTGCAAAAATGGCCAATGATAAAACAAACGTGACTATAAAGATAATTGGGTGAATTAATTTTTTAATTTTTTAATTTTTTTAATTTTTTTTAATTTGATTCCTATGTTAATTCAACCAAAATTTTGAATTTACTCACCTTATTGTCATTTTGATTTTTAAATATTATCCCAATTTTGAATATAAAAAAAGGTAATTCTATTCAATTAAATAAATTAATTAAAACTATTTGATTTTCCTGATCTTAGATCAAATCATAATAAATCCTTCTTAAATATCAATTATGTGTCTTATTCTCCTGCATTTTCATTTAATGAGTTCTTGTGTTTTTGATTCGTTTTGTTTTTCGTTTAATAATTTGAAAATCGTTCAATAATATTTGAATTTCAAGTCTTAAAAATGGATTCGTTGTCGTTAATACTAAGTGAGTTGAATTTCACTAAGCTAAATTGTAACTATTTGGATTTCGTTCAACGATTTCATACTTGTCCAACAATTTTGTGGCAACAACAATTATTTTAATTTCACTCAACTTATTTATTCATTTTTTTAAAATTAAACCAAATAAGCATCGTCTTTTGAGAGCGGTACAATTGATTAAGTCTCTTTACTTCTACTAGTTAGAGTTTGGGGTCAAATTCGCCTTAGGGTAGGAATACATAGTTTGAAAAAATATTGAGTTTGTCATTGATGGTTTGAATTCTATACCTAGAAAATCAATCCTTTGAAACTAAATTGTATGGCTCGTGATATATATACTTTATTTTTTTACAAGTACATCTTCTTTTCTTTTTCTTTTTTTAAAAAAATTTAAAATATTCTTTTTTTCTAATTTTTTGAATTTTACACCTCTACCATTCAATTTAACATTTTCTCTTTCTTTTTCACATACCTCCTTCCCTTTCTCTGTCAATTTTTATATGCATTCTCTTACCTTCCTCCTACTCCAACTTATTTCACTAAGTATTTTTAATTTCTTTTGTTTTCACATTACTTTCCTTATTCTCTCTCCTTTCAGTTTTCACACTATTACCCTCATATTCTCCTCTTTCAATTTTTACATGTACTCGGGATGTAGAAGTTAGAACTGGTGTGTGACAGCGTTATAAATGTATGCACCTTCCTCATAAGTATTAAAAGTATCAAGTCAAATGTACATCTTTTCTTCTAACGATAAAATATATTTATTTTTGTTTAATTGAAATTAACTACTTTTATTTTTTATACATGTGAAAATGACTCGTATTGTGTACAAAAAGTTAACATTATAAGTTTTAATCAGGCGAAAGTTATTAATTATATCATTTAAAAAATTTAAAGAAACAAATTAAATCATTTTATAACGAGGGGCTAGGATGTATTTATAGCATTAGTTGCTGAGAATTTAGAAGAGAGTGCAAAAATGGCCAATGATAAAACAAACGTGACTATAAAGACAATTGGGTAAATTAATTTTTTAATTTTTCAATTTTTTTAATTTGATTCCTATGCTAATTCAACCAAAATTTTGAATTTACTCACCTTATTGTCATTTTGATTTTTAAATATTGTCTCAATTTTGAATATAAAAAAAAGTAATTCTATTCAACTAAATAAATTAATTAAAACCATTTGATTTTAGTGATCTTAGGTCAAATCATAATAAATCCTTCTTAAATATCAATTATGCGTCTTATTCTCCTGCATTTTCATTTAATGAGTTCTTGTGAGTTTTTAATTCGCTTTGTTTTTCGTTTAATAATTTGAGAATCGTTCAATGATATTTGAATTTCAGGTCTTAAAAATGGATTTGTTGTCATTAATACTAAGCACTAAGTTAAATTGCAACTATTTGGATTTCGTTCAACGATTTCATACTTGCCTAACAATTTTGTTGCAACAACAATTATTTTAATTTCGCTCAACTTTTTTATTCATTTTTTTTAAAATTAAACCAAACAAACATCGTCTTTTGAGGAAGATATAATTGATTAAGTCTCTTTATTTCTACTAACTAGAATTTGGGATCGAATTCACCTTACATTAAGAATACGTAATTTGAAAAAATATTGAGTTTGTTGTTGATGGTTTGAATTCTATACCTAGAAAGTCAATCCTTCGAAACTAAATTGTGTGGCTCGTAATATATATATTTTATTTTTTATAAGTACATCTTCTTTTCTTTTCTTTTTTTAAAAAATCTAAAATATTCTCTTCTTTTTTTTTCCAATTTTTTGAATTTTACACCTCCACCATTCAATTTAACATTTTCTCTTTCATTTTCACATATCTCTTTCACTTTTTCTTTCAATTTTTACATGCATTCTCTTACCTTCCTCCCACTCTCAATTATTTCACTAAGTATTTTTAATTTCTTTTGTTTTCACATAACTTTCCTTATTCTCTCCCCTTTAAATTTTTACACTATTACCCTCATTTTCTCCTCTTTCAGTTTTCACATGTACTCGGGATGTAAAAATTAGAATTGGTGTGTGACAACATTATAAGTGTATGCAGCTTCCTCAATAATGTTAAAAGTGTCAAGTCAAATGTATATTTTTTCTTATAATTGTTAGAATAGTGGATTAAGCCTAACTCAACCCTACAAAACCGACTTGTAAGGTAAGGGTTGCTTTCCACTTATATATTATTCAATTGCCTAATCTCTAGTCGATGTGGGACTTGAGTTTTTCCCAATACACCCCCTCACGTCCAGCACTATTGGGCTTGGTACGTGGATAAATGGTGGGTGGCCCTTTTTAATGATCTAGGATTGGCGGGACTTGGGTTTTTCCCAATACACCCCCTCATGCCTATGAGGCATGCATCAATGGTGGGTGGCCCATTTTTAAAGTGGATCTAAATGGCTCTGATACCATGTTAGAATAGTGGATTAAGCCTAACTCAACCCTACAAAACCGGCTTGTAAGGTAAGGGTTGCTTTCCACTTATATATTATTCAATTGTCTAATCTCTAGTCGATGTGGGACTTGGGTTTTTCCCAATAATAATGACAAAATATATTTATTTCTGTTTAATTGAAATTAACGACTTTAATTTTTTATACATGTGAAAATGACACATTATGTACAAAAAGTTAACATTATAATTTTTAATTGGACGAAAATTATTAATTATATCATTTAAAAAATTTAAAGAAACAAATTAAATCATTTAATAACGAGGGGCTAGGATGAATTTATAGCATTGGTTGTTGGGAACTTAGAAGAGAGTGCAAAAATGGCCAATGATAAAACAAACGTGACTATAAAGACAATTGGGTAAATTAATTTTTTAATATTTTAATTTGATTCCTATGTTAATTCAACCAAAATTTTGAATTTACTCACCTTATTGTAATTTTGATTTTTAAATATTGTCCCGATTTTAAATATAAACAAAAAAAAATTCTATTCAACTAAATAAATTAATTAAAACTATTTGACTTTACTAATCTTAGTTCAAGTCATAGTTAATCTCTTTCAAATATCAATTATGTATTTTGTTCACAACTATATTTTCGTTTAGTAAGTTCTTGTGAATATTTTTTTCTTTGTTTTTTGTTCAACAATTTGAGAATCATTCAATGATATTCGAACTTCAGGTCTTGAAAATGGGTTCGTTTCCATTTTTACTAAGTGAGTTGAATTTCACTAAGATAAATTGCAACTATTTGGATTTCTTTCAACGATTTCATACTCGCCCAACAATTTTGTTGCAACAACAATTGTTTTTTAACTTTATTTTGATTTAACTCAAATTTTTTATTCATTTTTTAAAAATTAAACCAAACAACCATTGTCTTGTGAGGCCGGCATAATTGGTTAAGTCTTTTTTGCTTTTACTAGGTAGAATCTGAAAAAATGTTCAATTTATAGTTGATGGTTTGAATTCTATACCTTGAAAATCAAACCTTCGAAACTAAATTGTATGGCTCATGATATATGTACTTTATTTTCATAAGTACATCTTCTTTTATTTTATTTATTTTTAAATCTAAAATATTCTTAATTTTTTTCCTAATTTTTTGAATTTTACACCTCCACCATTCAATTTAGCATTTTTTTTTTCTTTTTCACGTACCTCTTTCCCTTTCTCTTT